AGGTTTAGTTCTCTATACAAATTATCAATCCTCTTTTTCTTCACCTTTGCCTGCTTGTCCTATATCAAATCAGTTCAGCAGACTCACAACCAGAAAGACCCCAGTGACTAAAACAGGGTGCATGTTTGCTTAATTCACCTCCAGATCCACTCCTCAGCCCTGTCTTGTTTGCAAGCACCCCTCCCTCACTCAGCATGTCTGGGTTAGCTTTGCAACCACAGAGTCACTGGAGGCAAAGAGTGCCTTAGGTAGCAGGAGGTGAAAAGTGCTCCCTGGGAAGAAGGCTTGAATGGATGCCGAAAGGTTAGCAGTGATGTTGTGTGGGCTGGGCTTCCGCGATTGCTTGGATTCTTCTTCTTGCTTATCTATATAGTCTACTTTTATTCCTATGCAGTGCATATATAAAAATGAAAGCAACTTAAACATTCAAAATAAAAAAAGGTTCATTTTGTGAATCTTACTGTCACTGCATCTGAAAGCAAGCAGTGCAACTGGGTGCTTTATTTAAGGTACTGAGCTGGAAGAACCTGTCTGAGGAAGAATCTGTCTGATGAAAAACCCGTCTTTGTCAGACAGGTTTGAGAACACTGGAAATGGCTTTGTTTCCAGGTGTCAAAGAGGGTGGAGATGGGGTTACAGGTGTGGGCATTTCAAAGGCAAAACAAAACACCCAACAGAACCTAGGGAGTCCTTTGGCATTGGTGTGTGTGTGTGTGTGTGTGTGTGTATATGCACGCTCGTGCATGCGTGTGCACACATAAGAAAGTGGCGCTTTTGGCAAATGGCCCTGATCTAGTGCAGCAGGGTTGAAATAAGTGCTTGGCTCCTCATAAAACAAAGTTCCTTTCCACAAGGAGACTATAAACAACTTTACATGGTGTGAACCCAGAAAATCAGCACAAGTCTCAGTTAATTTAGAAAGTTTATTTTGCCAAGTTTGAGGACATGCCTGTGACAGCCTCAGGAAGTCCTGACTACATGTGCCCAAGGTGGAGGGGCACAGCTTGAAACATGAGACACCAATCAATCTATGTAAGTAGGACATTGTTCCATCCAGAAAGGCGGGGACAACTCAAAGCAACCGGTCCTCCAACCTCAGGTTTCCAGGTCACAGGTCAATGGTTGACAAATGGCGGCATTCTTTTGAGTTTCTGATAAGTCTTTCCAAAGGAGGCAATCAGAATATATATCTATCTTTGTGAGCAGAGGGATGATTTTGAATACAATGGGAGGCAGGTTTGCCCTGAGCAGTTCCCAGCTTGAAGTAGCCCAAGATATTTTCCTTTCACATTTCCCCTCTTTTCTTTTCTTTTTGGTGATGGAGTCTCACTCTGTTACCCCGCCTGGAGTGCAATGGTGCAATCTCAGCTTATGCAACCTCTGCCTCCTGGGTTCGAGCAATTCTTTTGTCTCAGCAGCCTGAGTAGGTGGGATTACAGGCACGGCCACCATGCCATGCTAATTTTTGTATTTTTTTTTTTTTTTTTGGTAGAGATGGGGTTTCTCCTTGCTGACCTCATGATCTACCCACCTTGACCTCCCAAAGTGCTGGGATTATAGGCATGAGCCACTGGCTCAGCCCCCTGCCTTTTCTTTTTAAAAGTCTTTTGGAGAAAGAATTTTAGAACAAAATGAGTCAGGTCTCAGGTTCATCTGATCTCTTATGGCTAGAACAGTTTATTCCTAGACAGGTAGATCTCAAAAGCTCATTTTCAGCAGGTTGTGAAGTCTCATGTCCTATGAAGAGAAAATGGGGGGAGGAAAGGAGAAAAACAACAACAAATAAAAGAACAATCCTGGAAAAATTGACATAGGCCACATTACTCTGAAGTTCATACATAGTAGGCAGGTGTGAAAGTGACCTATGTATGTAAATAGGTTGCTGTTACATTCTTCTGAAGTTTAAGTTGTCTGGCGTCAGTTCACAGGGCTTTAAGAAAGCACAGCTTAGTTTTCAGTGACTCCAAGTTAGGCAAAATGGAAAAAAAAGAAGGAAAAAAATTGAAAACACTATTTTGAAGACTTGTAGCCAAGAAAAATTAGAATTTGGTTCAAACTGTAGAAAATAATAAAAATTGAAGATACGTTAGGCAACACTAGAATCTAACAACAGGTGCACTACAGTTTTGAAAAACAATTTTTCTCTCTCCAGTTTCCCATAAAGACAAATCATGTTAGAACTGGTTTGCTTTATTATACTTGGCCTAATTATTTGTATATAGTACAGCAAGAATAATTATTTTTTTACACAGGCTTTTAAATTGGCTTTGATGGAACTTATTTCATAAGAGGAATCTTAGATAAGACTTTTTAAAGCCAAACCCAGCCATGTATTTGTGTCACCACATACCTATAAGTTGAGTGAATTTCCTCTCCTTTTGAGATTCCAAGATAAACCTGGGGCTTCTTCATCTGTCAGGAAGTGACACACTTTACTTACCATAGGTCAGAAACCCTGTACATGGACTGTGTACACAAAATATGAAGCCAGTTTCCCAAGGGCTTTATTGGCTGCATAGGTCAAGTTTGATTCCTTAAAGAAAAGCACATCATTTCAGGCCTGGCATGGTGGCTCATGCCTGTAATCCTAGCATTTTGGGAGGCTGAGGTGGACAGATCATCAGGTCAGGAGTTCAAGACCAGCCTGGCCAACATGGTGAAAACCCGCTCTACTAAAAATACAAAAATTAGCCAGGCATGGTGGTGGGTGCCTGTAATCCCAGCTACTTGGGAGACTGAGGCAGGAGAATTGCTTGAACCCAGGAGGTGGAGGTTGCAGTGAGCCCAGATCCTGTCATTGCATTCCAGCCTGGGTGGCAAGAGTGAGACTCCTTCTCAAAAAAAAAAAAAAAAAAAAGAAAAGAAAAGCATATCATTCCAGTCAAAGCCTTGGTATTATATTCAATTTCTCCAATTGTGTCCTGTTACAAATGAAAACAGATTCTTATTACACTTATGCAAATAATTACATTGCCATAAGTTAAAAATACTCACAAATAGTTTCCAAATTCTGGAGAAATCAAGTGGAGAGAAACAAATATGCTCCAAATTTTGTTCATAGAATTATACTGAACTGTTAAAAGCTGTCAATAGCTCAAAAGAAAAGTTTTAAGACTCTGAAAAACAAAACAAAGGATCAGCAACCATTTTAACAAAAAGTCAAAAATACTAGTTCAGTCTATGCAGCTAATTCCCATTCTGTTTGGTACTCATGAACATTTTAGCTCTCCATGAGTCCTGAAAGTTTTTCCTCTATTCTGATGTCACAATCTCCAAAGTTATCAGAAACCTGCATTCAAGAGCACCTGTCAGAATTTTATAGCTGATTATAAGACCACCTTCTAAAAAGTACCAAAACAAGACAACAATTGTCTGTGGATGAACAAAAAGTTTAGGGCAGCCATAGTCAAAGACACAATTGATGAAGAAATGTGTTACTTCTGTGGCACACAATAATTTGAAAATAATTATGTTTATAACTGATAATGTACACTAAGTTATATCAGAATTACAGGAGTTTCCCCTAATTTTGGAACACATACCAAAAACATGTCTATACAAATACAGCTCAAAGAAAACTCAATACCATTTCACATTTGATAATGCTTCCTGTATAATTTTTGTACCAAATAAGCCAAATTATGTTTTTTTTTGTTGGACTTCAGGGAACCTAAGTATCTTAAAGGATTAATTAGGTCAGTAAAAAAGACCAATAATTTATAATTTAATTTGTAAAGTTTGTCAAATATCAAAGGTTTTAAACACTTGATATCACAGAATAGGATCATGGGTCACTGTAAAATAAGTCATTCATGTCACCAAAGTGATAACTCAAAGATTTTTTTAAAAAAGGAGAAAACCTTTATTCTTTGAGACAGAAGACTAAATTTTCCAAACAGTAAGCACCCTAATAAAAACAGCATTAAGCCAATTAAATTTGTTTTTCAAAATTTTATAAACAATCTATAAATTTTAATATTTAAAATGTTATAAACAATCTATAAAATTTAATATCTTTAATTTTAATTTAAGATAGAACCACTGTAAGCCTTTTATAACCTTTATAACCTTTATTAATGAGTTGGTTAATGCTTCAAGAAAATCTTGTTAATCTGACACAGGCCCATATGCTGGTCTTGCATCAATATGCCTTTAACATTAATGATTAATTTATAGAGAAACTGAACTTATTTTATCATTCAAAATTGGCATTTACAATCTTACATGCCCATCTCTTCCACAATAGTCCCTGGGCCTTGAGGAGTTGAATAGCTTTAATTTCTTGCCCTGTGTCTCAGGAATGCAATTTATTTTGATTGGCATCTTTTATGGGGCCTAAAGATGAGGCTTTAATTGCTGGCAGTGTTTAAGATTTAGCAGGATGTGGTGTCTTTTTTAGACCCAGGAGTCAAAGCCCTGTAACTCAATGTCACAAGAACTTTAAAAGCACATAGAGGAAGATACATGGGTGTAATAACCTTTTTTTTATTTCTTAACTTTTTATTGACATTGGCAAATTAAAATAGAATAAATTAACAAGTATTTTTTCAAAAAAATGTTTTTTACAAAAATACTGTCAAAATTTCCTAAAAAGCTTTCAACACAGTAGTATCTTTTCATGTACTGAATATAACTATTAACACAGTGTCAAAAATGTGGAAGACAGAAACAAAATAAAAATCTGTGAAATGTTTGCCACTGACAACATTCCATACCCTATTATCATCTGTACATATGTAGGGGGAGGGAGAGACAGCCAACTTGAAAGTGAACAGTATGACTTTTCCTGATCCAAAACAGTTTGACCCTCATCTGTTTAATCTTCCAGTTTAGATATTTTAAAAATTAGTCTGTACTCAAATGCATAGTTAAAAAAATGAAGCAAGATGGCAGAGTTTGTGCAGTAATATCTGCCCTTCCAAGTTCATGCAACCAACTAATACAATTTTTCCTTTCTCTCATAAATCTGAATGCAGTTCAGTCATTTGAATCCACAAGATTAAGAAGTTTGCCAAGATTAATATCTAACGGTTGAGCACTGAAGAAAGTGAGGGAAAGGAGTAAAAACAAACAGCAAAAAAGACCAAGTTAGCTAGATATTTCAACTACATAAGGGAGGTTAATGTTAAGGCTGCAAAAACAAAACAAAAACAGGGGGGAAAAGTGGCAGCAATTTTTTTTTAAACCAATTTGTACAAGTTTATAGTTTACTTTATTTCCAAGTTCTCAAACCTTTCAAGATCTGAAAAGTGAGATACTGTGTCTAAGGGAATATTTCTTTTAATTCACACCAAAGAAGTTAGGAGTTTGATTTCTTTCACTGGGGTTTTGATTGAGTCAACAGCTCACTCTGCTGGGCTGCTGTTTGCACACAAAGTCCGTCATAAAATCAAACTCGTTTTGCCTCAGCCAGAGATCAGGCAGCTTCTTGATGTGGTCCAAACCCATTTCTATCACCAAGGACATAAGAACTTCCTTGTTGATAAAATCAGTGTCTATGACATTGGGCGGCAGCATTGCAGCAGGGACATGGGCCATGGAGACAGGCATGTTGCTGCTGCCCGTGCCGCCGCCCGTGCTGCCACCCGAGCTGCTGGGGGTGCTGCTGCCGCTGCTGTGCTTGGGGTTGCAATCTCGGAAGTGCTGGTTTGTCTCATTCATCTGGTGTCCTGCAGCAGGGTGCAAATCTGGCATGTAGTGGTTGTGGGGGTAGGGGTGATGGTTGAAATACTGGTTGTTGAGTTTCTGCAGCTGCATGCTGGCCGGCAGGGAGCCTCCCTGGCTGGCCACTGTGGGGGCCATGAACTGGGAGTTGTTAAACCTGGCCACGGGGGCCAGTGTGCTCAGGGGGTGTCCTCTATTCACAGTCCCTGGCCCCATGGCATGCCTGATGTTGCTTGTGGCATTCATGTTGCCCGTGCTGTACTGTATGTACTCGCCCATCAGGGCATTGAAGGTGTGCTGGTGCTGCTGCTGCTGGTGATGGGGGCTTGGGAACTGCCCCATGCCCATGCGGTGGGCAGGGTGGTGGTGCAGCCCATTGGTGCCATTGGGGAAGCACCCGTGGTTCGTGGCCATCATATAGTGTGCCATTTCCAGTCCTTCCATTTTTGCAATTTCTGCTCTGAAGACCGAGGGTGGGATCATTGGGTCCAGGACTGGCTCAGCAGCACATAGATGGGGTCTTTCTGGTGGGCAGGGTGCTTTGCTGTTGCAATGTTGGCGCCGAGGTCTTGCAGCAGCTGTTGGGGCAGATTCAAAGCTGTTCCCTTTTATTTCCCCTCCACTGCTCTCATAGCTCGGTAGGAGAGCCCAGCAGCTGCCAACAATGAGCTGTCAATAACTTTAATTAAGAAAATATGTTGGAATCTCACTCTGTTGCCCAGGCTAGAGTGCAGTGGCATGATTTTGTTAATAACTTTAATTAAGAAAATATGATGGAATCTCACTCTGTTGCCCAGGCTAGAGTGCAGTGGCATGATTTTGGCTCATTGTAATTTCCATCTCCTGGGTTCAAGTGATTCTCCTGCTTCGGCTTCCTGAGTAGTTATGACTACAGATGTGCGCCACCATGCTTGGCTAATTTTTGTATTTTTAGTAGAGATGGGGCTTTGCCATGTCAGCCAGGCTGGTCACAAACTACTGACCTCAAGTGATCCACCTGTCTTGACCTCCTAAAGTGCTGGGATTACAGGTGTGAGCCGCTGCATTTAGCCAAGAAAAATTTTTTATCTGTTTTTGCCCTAAGTGAACCAAAACTTAATAATAATATGACAACTTGTTTTTTTTTTTTTTTTTTAACATAAATCCTCTTATTGTTACTTATGCTGACCATTAATGACATGCTTGGACTTTCTGGTTTGTCCTGAAAATCCCTCCTTCTTAAACAACCAGTCATTTTATTTTAGGATTACATTTATCATACAAAATTCTTTCTCATATAAAATTATTTTTCTTTAAGCTTTCTTAACACAAAAAATACATCTTTATTTTTATAACTTTCTTTACATCTCTTTTTATTTTGTTTCCTTTAACCTTATTTCATACATAACCTTTAAATTAGCTTTGAATTAGACAAACTTGTTCACCATTTTTTAAAAAGGATACACTTTTTTTTTTTAGCAAGAATGTTTTCCTACAGAATATATTTATTGGAAAATATACAAATAATAAAATATCTTATTTAATTTAACTTTATATTCTGAATTATGACCAGTTTGTCTACAAGTATTTATCCCATTCCATTTAATTATTTTGTTTTAATTTTTTACCTAGATTATTTATACAGTGCCAAAAAGGGGGTCATTCTCCTTGTTTTCTCCTCATTCTTAGATTGTTTGTTTCACACTTCTTTTTATTTCTTAAAAGGAGAAACTGAGCTGTAGTCTAGGATTTTTGCATGGTAGATTGACATGTGCTGCTTGTGAGCAGGACTCCACATTCTGTCACCACTGAGTTGTTTCCACCCTTTTGCATGTTTCAGTTTCTCTCTTGAGAGGTCGACGTTGGAGAGGGCTCAAAATGCCATGTGATCAGCCCTTATATGTGTTTCCTGGACAAGCCATTTTTTTGTTTTTTTGTTTGTTTGAGATGGAGTCTCACTCTGTCACCAGGCTGGAGTGCAATGGTGCGATCTTGGTTCACTGCAACCTTTGTCTCCCAGGTTCAAGCAATTCTCCTACTTCAGCTTCCCAAATAGCTGGAACTAGAGGTAGGTGTCACCACACCTAGCTATTTTTTGTATTTTTAGTAGAGATGGGGTTTCACCATGTTGGCCAAGACGGTCTCGATCTCTTGACTTCATGATCTGCCCACCTTGGCCTCCCAAAGCTAAGTGGATTACAGGTGTGAGCCACCACACTGGGCCGACAAGCCATTTTTAAAATTAATTTTTGTTGGGGATTTCCAGGCAGGGCTGCTGCCCATAGCATGGGGTCAAACCCCAGATACTCCCACCAGGCCCACAGTCACCCAGGAGCACCTTTCAGCTGGGAGGAGCAAAATGCCCTTTCTTTTTGGAGCTGAGAAAACTCAGTCTCTCTCACTAATGTATGAAAACAACAGTTCAGTTCTTCATGCAAATACACATAGACAAACCAAATTAAGATTAAATTTGGGAGAAAAAGCAATAGAGAAGATCCTTTAGAATGCACCTCTGAACTAGAATTAGGACAACAACTTTAGATGGAAACAAACAACAACAAAAAACCTCTCAACAATATGATCATTGAGCACTCTAATGGCAAGGAGAAATTAAGGCCAGCTGGTTTTTAATCTTAATTTTAGCCAAGACCAACCCCAATTCGGTTTCTTACCTAGGGATGGGCCTCAGGCTGAAGACTGCTCTCTATCATCCTAGAAGCAGGAAAACAAACAAAACAAACAAACTTATCTTCCCTGTTGGAAGTGAGCTCAATCTCAATTAGGGAGTTACCTGCCTTCCACTGTCATGGGAGCAGGAAAAACTTGTTTTCCTTTTGTTGGAAGCAAGTAAAAAAAAAAAAAAAAAAAAAAAAAAAAAAAAAAAGAGTTGCACAGCAAAATAAATGTAGGATCTCGATCAAATTTTGGGAGAACAAGGATTCTCTGGAGGGGGTGCTCTCAGACCTAAACAAATTGTCCTACTGATTTGAGCCATAAAGTTAACTCATGCTGATACCAGGGACTGATAGATTTGTCAAAGGTCAGGGACATCTCCACTCAGAATCCTTTCATGGCTACCAAAATGTGAACCCAGAAAATCGGAGACAGGTCTCAGGGGCCCAAGATATTTTCCTTTCACAATGGAAAACAGAACAAAGTCCAGGATCAAAGCCCTGACTGAATCAAAAAAAAAATTCTTAGATAAGGAAAGCAATGATTATGACAAAAAGAGAGTCTTTAGTTCTGAGAAATTTGCTGAGAGTCTTAGGACTTGTTGAGAGTCAAGGATCCTTTATGATGCTTTTTGTTTGTTTGTTTTGAGACAAGGTCCCACTCTGCCACCCAGGCTGGAGTGCAGTGGCGCAATCATGGCTCAATGCTGCCTCAACTTCCCAGGCTCAGGTGATCCTCCTACCTCAGCCTCCTAAGTAGCTGGGACTACAGGTGCATGCCACCCATGCCTGGCTAATTTTTGTATTTTTTGTAGGGATGGGGTTTCATCATATTGTCCAGGCTGATCTCAAACTCCCAGGCTCAATTGATCTACCCACTTTACCCTCCCAAAGCACTGGGATTACAGGTGTGAACCACCATGCCTGGCTGCTTTTGATATTTAACACCAGTGACACAGTGCTGAGAAACCTCGTTCTCTAAAATCATGGACAATGAGAAGCGTTCCTATCAGAAATCTTTTCAATGAGCATGGAACATCCCATCCTTGCCTGAAAGTTCTGAGCTATGAAGGTCGTTGTCATACGCAGCAACTTCGAAATTCGACTTAGGTGTAGCATTTCAGATAAGGGGTTTTTGAATGCAGCATTTCACATTTAGCTTAATTTTGTAGTTGCTGGGGAAGGTGGTCCTGAATTCACTTCCTAGCTCAGCTGACAAAGTTTCTAACAGAACTTCCACCAATGTTTTCAAGGGGTTGTGGCCAAGGCCACACAACCTGTCTCCTTTTCCACTATTACGTATTTTTTTTAACTAGTGATACCCTTGTTCCTCCTGCCTCCTGAACAAATATTCCTGAGAAACCCAACTGCCAAACTGTCCCTGCTTCACTATGACACTCAACCCAGAGCTGCTCCTGCTTCCCCTTGTTCAATCCCCAAATCATTCAGCATAAGCTCCGAACCCCATTAAAATCTTTCTTCATTCCCTTATGAGGAGATGCCCATGGATGGTCATAGTATGTGTCTTTCCTTACCACCCTAACTTTTTAAACTGTGGGTATGTTGGCCCGGTGTGGTGGCTCATGTCCCTGTAATTCCAGCACTTTGGGAGGCTGAGATGGACGGATCACTTAAGGTCAGGAGTTTGAGACCAGCCTGGCCAACACGGTGAAACTCCGTCTCTGTTAAAAATAGAAAAATGAGCTGGGCATGGTGGTCCCATGTCTGTAATCCCACTATTTTACTTAGGAGGCTGAGGTATGAGACTTCCTTGAACCTGGGAGGCAGAGGTTGGAGTGAGCCAAGATTGCACTACTGCACTCCAGCCCGGGAAACAGAGTGAGACGCTGTCTCAAAAAAAAAAAAAAAAAAAAGCAGCTGCCATTTACTGAGCCTTTTCTGTGTACAAGGCACATGTTTAAAGTCTTTATGTTTTGCACATGTAGCAGGGCCAGAGTCAAGAGCCTGATACTCCTTTGTTGTGGTCGGTACCTCCAGAGAAGCCGTACATTGAGCTCCTGTATCTGTCACTGTTTCCCACGTATGAAAGAATTTGACCAACAGACAGGTTTCTGTAGAGACAACTGGGGAAAAACTGGCCACCAGCTTTTTATTTTATTTTATTTTTAGAGACAGAATCTTGCTCTGTCACCCAGGGTGGAGTGCAGTGGCATTGCCACGGCTCATTGCAACCTCTATCTCCCACACTCAGGGGATCCTTTCATCACAGCCTCCCAAGAAGCTGGGACTACAGGCATGTGCCACCCTACTTGCCTAATTAAAAAAATTTTTTTTATAGAAATGGGGTCTCCCCATGTTGCCCAGGCTGGTCTTGAACTCCTAGGCTCTGTGATAGAATATATTTGCCGGGAAGAACAACAAAAAAAAAAAATAGAAGAAGAAGAAAATAAGAACTCCTAGGCTCAAGTGATCCACCCACCTTGGCCTCCCAAAGTGCTGGAATCACAGGTGTGAGCCACCATGCACAGTTGGCCACCAACTTGGATGTAAATGTGACATGGACTAGTTAGAAGAGTGATCCAGAAATTGAAGTGTGCACAAGAATCACCTGGAGCAGCTGTTAAAAGGCAGATTTCTAGGAAGCCACTGCCCCAACCCCACCCCCGGCAGTTAAAGCAAATTTTCAGACACATTTATTACAAATACATGTCAAAGTTTTGTTTCAAACTAACTGCAAGGCAGGAGGCTTTCTAAAAGAAGCAGACATGAACCCAAAGATTTCTCTCTGGGCAGAGACTTTTTTTTTGAGAGAGAGGGTCTCACTCTGTCACC